TTTATATATTTATCTTTAATAAATTAAAATAAAAATAAATTAAATAATGTAATTAATTTCAATCTTTCCAAATTAAAAGGATTGAAAATAAAGGAGATGAGGGACTTCATCTCCCTTCATCTCTCTCCCCCTTCATTAAAATAATTTATCCAAATAAGAGAATTTGTCCTCTCTCTCATCTCCTTTTCTTTTAACTTTCTCAATTCAAACAAAGTGTAAAAGTTAGATTACTAATCCGAGTAAAATAATGATTTTAAGGATTTTTTTAATTTGTGTTTTTAAAATATTGTTTAAAAAATATATTAATTATATTTTTTAATAAATTTTTATAAAAAAATATAAAAATAAATATTATATTTTTTAAGAAAAATAAATTTTTCTTAATCATGTTTAGCCCACGTTTTTATTGTCTTATCTCCTGAAACCAACCCTCTGTTCTCAATTGAGTTTTTAAGGGTATAAACATTTTTAAAAGCTCAGGAGCCCTTGGGAGCTAAGCTCATGAATCTCATGAGTTGTGTAACTGTTTCATTTTCTTAAAGTTTCATTGCAAAGTTATAGACAAAAATAAATAAATAAAAGATGACAAAATTATATAGATAATGGGGTTGAGGAGTTTAACTTGAGGTTTTTCCTCTACCAAAGTCAGTTTGGGCTTTACTTACAAAAAATCCATTCAAGCATTTATACTTTTTTAAACAGATATTAGATAAGTAGCATAAGAAATTGTCCAAGTGGAATTCCAAAACCTCTTCAACAAGAAGTTGAAAGCAAAGCTCAAAACATTTCAATTGAAATTCCAAACAACTATGTATCAACAAATCTATTAGAATTAGAATGGCCACCAAATTTTCATCAAGATACCATAAAAAGGAGAAAAACCATGGATACATAAAAAAGAAAAATACCATATAAGCTATCCGCATACACACAGTACTGAACAAAAACAAGAGAATAAACAAACCAAGAAAATATCAATTTCCGGAAACTAACGGCTCTGTTTCAGGTTTCTCTTCACTAAAAATCTTAGCAATCTTCTCTGTTGGCACCAATGGCAGGTAAGAGGATACCCGGTAACCCTTGGTAGCGGTGATAACCACAGTCTGGTTGTACTTCTCAGTGCAATAGGCAGCGGTGGGGACGACCACCTGTGCCACTTGAGGGAAGAGGGGGAGCTGGTTGAGCTTGCGCCAAGCGGACACGGCACATTGTTCTGCCTTGGGTTCATACTTTGTGTAAAGCTCCTTGGCCGTGGGCTCGCACTTAGTGTAAACAGATTTGGCTATTCCAGAGGCGGTGTTCAGCACTCCAGTATGCTGCACCTCGGAAGCCACCGACCGTGCAACTTCCGGAGCCTTTTTAGCAGCCGAAATGGCATCAGAGGACACTTGCTTGATTACTGGAGGAACACGACGATCAATCTCAATCACGGATTCATCCACCTGTTTAAAACAATGAACAGAAATTTCTAAATTTTCATCCAAACAGAGCGAATTTTGAACTTGAATTTGCAATCAAATTGAAGGAAGCAAAAGATCAGTTGGGAGAAAGAAAAATTCACCTTGCGATCGACAAATTTGAGGAGCTCAATCGGGAGGTCGTGGTACTTATGGACGACTGGTCCAACGACTGTCTTAACCGTTCCCTCAATCGTCTCCACACCGGACTTCAACGGGCCTGACCTCTCCTTGGCGCAACCGTAGAGATTCACGAAGCACATCGCCGCATGAATCACCGCCACTTGCACGAATTCCAGGTATTTTAGACTCTCTTCATCCATAGTAGTCTTCAAATTCCAAGCAAAGCAAAAAAAAAAAAAAAAAGTCAAATTCTACAAGTAAAACCTAAGGAAACAATTGAATTCTAAACTTCTATTAAAAAAAACACACACACACAGACACACACACAAATTCATCACTGATTTCTTCTGAATTACGATTAATCAAAATCCAGAAGACTATCCAAAATTTCAAGTTTCCTCTAACATGAGATCAAAGCATTTGAAATCTTTAGAATGAATCAAGAAGCAGAAAATTAAGATTATATTAAAGAAAAATTACAATTTCCTGTTGCACGTTCATGTCCGCCTGAGCCATAACCGAACCGATTTCGCTGCAGGGAGCAATCAATCGAAAATCAGAGGTAAGATCTGAAGAAGTTTTCGTCGCCAGAGAAAGTATTGGTCGATGATGAAATGATGGTTGTTCTCCAGATAGGCGATCCCTCTTATAGGAGGTGAGAAAGGAATTCGATTCACACGGCACGGATTTCGGCGGAAGGCAGTGGTTAAGAAAACGGAGGTGCAGCGTGTGGAATTTGATTGGTTTGTTGAGGTACTCTAGAAACGTCGAGCGTTGACTCTTCTAGGCTAAGTTTAAGTTGCGATAAAAAACGCAGAGCAAATGAAGTAAGAAATCTCAAACTATCCTCTGTTACACAATAATACCATGAGTTACCTATTTTGCAATCCAATGGACTGCGAAATCCGTTCGATTGCAAAGTAACAGTCATTTTGACGGAGAACAGTCTTCATTATATGGGGATTCTTTTCAATTAAATAATAAATATTGTGTAATTTAATACTACACAATCAAAAAGAACTATAATATAAGAATAATTTTTTGTTAACAAGTTAAATAACTTAATTATAATATCTTTTTATTAAAAATAAGAGATTTTGAATTCAAATCGCATAATATGCAGATATGACAGAGTAAAAAATTAAATAAGGTTACCTTTTTTTATGCAATTAACATCAAAAAAATATAAGAATAATTTTTTTATATGATTTAATGAGTAAATACATTTAATATTATAAATTTAAATAAATAAATAAAATTAATTATTTAAATAACATATAAGATTATATAAAAAAAATACAAAAAGTTATCCTTAAATTATTTTTCATTAAAAAGTATTGGATAAAAAATAGACTTCTTAATATTGAGAGTCTTCTTTCATCTTACATCTAATTGCTTTTATTTTGTAGTTTAATATATACAATATAAACTATAAAATAAGATTTTCATATTATAATAAGTTTAATATTTTTATGATTCAAATTGTATTGAACTACTAAAAAAATTAATTATTAAATAAAGGAACCTTACCTTAATATCAAGCACCTCTCTTAATCTAGTTAATATTTTACAATCCAATTAGGGGTGAGCCAAAAAATCTGCAACCTAAAAATAATTAAAACTGACAAAATGTAACCGGTGAGTAGAGTTTGATTGAATTTTAAGTTTATCTGATTAAAAACCAAAACAAATCACTTATAAATGATTTAGGTTTTGGTAACTAAGTTTAAAAATTAAAAAATCGATGATTGAAGTAATTATAACCAAAAAATTCGAAGTAAAAACTTTTTATATAAATTTTTTAATGGTTTCTAAACCTTTTTAAGGTTTTCTAGTCACTTTTCATAAAATTACTTATTTATTTGGATAATTTTTAATTTTTTAATAATTGAAATTAATAAAATAATAAACAGGAAATTCAAAATATAACTAAAAATATATAAAAATAATTTTTTAGTTAAAATCAAAACCAATTTAAATGGTTATTCTAAAAAATATAACCAAAACTAATAAAATTCATATTTCTTGGATTGATTAATGGTTACTAAAATTAAAAATTAAAAATTTTAATTAACTGATAATTTAATTTCAATTACAACTAAAATCAAACTGTGTCCACCTCAAAATTCAATGTTAGATTGCAAAACATTCTTCTAAATATATAATGTACAGTAATATATCAATTAAACAGATGTATACACATATTTACACATGGCTTCGAATAAAAATAATTAATTATAAAATAATGCATCATATTACCCATTTTTTTTATCAAAATGATAGATATTTTTTATTTTATCTTTAAATTAAAATTTTCAAATAACTTATATTTTTACTTATTTTATCATTCAAAAAACAAAAAAAAAAAATCCTTTTTCTAGAATTAAAGTTAAAAAAATATTTATTTAAAATATAAAAATAACTATTATTTTAAAACAAACTATAAATAATGAAAGCTTAATATTCTCAAACAGAGTATAATTACTGTACATTTATCACCTTTCTACATGTCTCCATATACCTTGGGTATGTCTTTGTTTCCGTTTATGACTTTATGTGGAGTGTTTGGACGAATATGAGCCATCTTGCATGAGATGGTAAAAATCGGCCCAATAAGATATGTCCACCACTGAATAGACCCCCATGAGCAAACCCAGATTGACCTCCTCATCTTACTAAGCCACTAACCCATTAAACAATCATGAAGCCTCATTGATGGTACTCATTCTTCATTACCTTAGCAAGAAAGAAAAGATTTTGTTCATCTTTGAAAACGGCAAGCATTCTTCTTTCTATTCATACGGTGAAGGAAATTTTGATTGAGACTTGTTGAATACATCTTTTATCTACAATAATAAAGTGAAGCAAAATTGAATTAAGTTATCTCTTATCAAATACTTTATAGGTAAAAAATCATTTTTTTAAATTTTTTTATTAAGAAAAATATTATGTAGTTCAGATCATATTAAACTACGTAACATTTACCATTAGTTAGGGTTAGTCTCTTGATACTGAAAGTTATCCCTCTGATCATTATTTTATAATTCAATACCATTCGAATTGTAAAACAAAAAAATTATTTTTATTATTATGTATTATTATTCTAGCTATTTTATTTGATGGATGATGCAAATAGTGACACAATAGTGGGATCCATGGTGATTGTGGTCACTACAACCCCATGTCCACATAGCTCCAATAATGATTACCACATTTACCATCTCATATAAAAGAAAGAGGCACTCATAAACCAAAGAGATTCACAAACTTCTTGCAACAAAGAAGAAAAAGATTTTATGAATATGGTAAAGGCAAGATATGGAGGAGAACCGTTTTAGATAAGGGAAGGAGCGCCATTTTGGCTCTCGATTTCATTTCATGTTCATTTCTATGGTTGTAGATGTGATAAGGCTGTGATGGACCCCATCAATTAAATACTCCCCCCATCATGCGTTACGACTAAATAAGTTAAAGGAAATTCAAAAGAATTTTGCATTGGTTTTGGAAATTTCAAATCTAATCCTTCCTATGAATGGCTTGAAATTGGGGGAATGATATTTCCATATTCATACAATATGGTGGGGCTGATAACCATAGCCATTCATTTCCAACAATCCAGTTATGTAGAAATTAATCAAATTGACGGAAGAGACCCCAATAAATATGAGTTTTGCTCCTTTTTTTTTCTTTTTTTTTTTTTTTCATTTTTGTTGGATGGAGAGCAACTATTTCTTAGTTACAATAAAAGCTCATTTTTTTATGCTAAAATAAAAGATGAGTTATTTCTAGGATCTTAATTTGAGTAAGAAATAATAATTCTTCCAACCAAATAAAATCTACAGTTTGTACCAACACCAAAATAAGTTCAATCATGAATGAGAGCGTTACATCCTTTTTCTCTCACCGAAGATAACATAACTATAATCGTTAAATATCAATTGCCTCTTTTAGGAACCAACACGGCGCGGTCTTTTTCTTAAAAAAAATTATTTGAATTATATAACAAAAAACAATTCTTTTGTATATTTTAATTCATTACATTTATATATTATGTGATTTGAATTTGAAATTTTTTATATTTATAAAAAAAATTTACTACTAAATTATTTAAATTATTAAAGTAACTAATGTCATATCAACTTTGTCTTGAACTACAGAAAATTATATGTGAAAGTAGGAAGAATGCTCCAAACTGAGGGAATCCAAAGAATTTCATAAAACATTCATATAGTAAGATCTGAATTGAATTGGGTTATAATTGGAGAAAGATGGAGAGGCTTTGTCGAGTACTTGGACAAAACAAAAACATGCTGTCACCTAAAATTCACGAGGAAATACACAGGAGAATGGAAAACAACAGCAAAAACAGCTCAAATCTGTAAAATGTACTTTTTGTTGGGCAAGAAATATATTGTAGTTCAGAAGAATCCCCTTCACCGCACCTAATTCCTTCACTTTTCCTCCTTTCCCCACTTTACCAAAAAAAAATAAAAGCAAATGGTACTCTTGATTAAGTTCCTAATTTTAATCCAATTCCTTTCAACACCAAAATTGTAAAATAAAAATATATTTGTTAATATTAAGAGATTCATAAAAAATAATTAAATAAAAAAATATTGTCTAATATTAAGGAACCATCTCCAATCTAATTATATACGACATGTGGTCTAATGCAAGTCCATACTATATAACAATTTTTTGTTCTTGATTTCCTCTAAAATTCTATATGCTGATTTGCTCTTACCATCAGAAATTTAACTTTTTAAACACATTACAAATTTACAAGATTCCCATTTTATAACCAACCTTTTTGACCCCTTTTGCTATCCCAATTTGACTTGAGACTTGAAAATGAAATTAGAATTCAGGGCTTCCAATGTTGAGACTGAAAGATTTAGAAAATCAAAGACTATCTGTCTTGCGCAGAAAAAAAATAACAAGCATTTTATTTTATTTTTTTATTTAAATATATTAAAATACAAGCATTTTCCCCAAAAATACATTTAATAGGCAAAACAACTATTATATCCTAAAATTACCCATAACAATAAGATCTGGCTTTGAGTCACATAACATCTGGCCAAGCTGAGTTAAGAGACAGTCATGTGCAGCTCAAAATCCAGAGAAGTTAAAAAAAAAACCTACTTGGAATTATAACAATAATCTTTTACAGAGAAAATGCGAATATAATTGGAATTATAACAACAATATATCCATCAATAACATCACAGACCCATCATCTCTAATCCATCCCTCCTTCATGTGTAACAACCAAACCCATTTTCTTTTTTAAAAAATTGAATAAAATAGAAAATTAACGCCGGCACCTTGTAATGGCACTGCAGCCGCGGGAGTAAGGATTGGCCTGAGCTTGGGGCTGGCAATTGTAGTAGGACGCGCCGCGTCGGGAGCAGGGAACAGTGTTCTTCCGCAGCGCACCGTAGCTGATGTACTTGGTGGTTTGTAGAATACGCCGGCTGATCTCGGAATCCAGCTGAAACTCCTCATCCCCGGCCAAACACTCCGATATGGACCCCTTGCAGTTTGATCTGATGGGTATCCACCCCAGGTAGTCCCCGCTCGCGTCGACCGCCGACGATTGGCTCACCACTACCGTCAACACCAACACCGCAGCTGCCCAGATCACTGGAAACCTAATCGAACCCAAGAAGCCGGCCATCGTAATAAGCTTTGCCTTTTTTTTCTGGGATTTCTTGGGTTTCTTCTGATTTTGCTTACTTTCCTGAATGTGCAGTTTCTTTTCTTCCTTTCTTCCTTCCTCAGAGTCTCTTTCTCCTCTATTTAACTCCTGCTGGTGAGGGCAAAGCTATATTGCCTGGGTGCACAGAAATGCCATAGGTTCAGCTGTTAATTACAAAGTTACCATTAGCCAGATTTGAGCCGGAAATGGGTGAGTGGATAACAACCAGTTTTTGACAAAATAAATTGAATGAAGACATAAAGCACAATTAACAGCTAATTTCTTGTTTTATATAGTAAAAAAAAGGAAAACAGCTAATTTCTTATTTATTCTAGAAATTTGGCTTCATTGGTTGTGTTAGAGGGACCACATGCTAGGAAAAAATAGTTAAAAAGGACAAAGAAATTTTAATTGCGTACGGTTCACGTGATTTTGTAATAATTTTTTCGAAATTTAAGAGAATATAAATTTGAATAATATATTATAAATATAAGATAAATTAAAAAATAA